GACCTGGTCAACTAACTTGTTGTGGCACGCTCGTTGATAGGTCTCATGCTTCTTCATAAGCGGAAGAAGCTCGTTAGTGGTCCATCCCTTGGCCTGGAAGTCGTCGTAGTCCGAAGCCGAAGCGCGCGTGTACATCTAGTAAGTCTTAGTTTCACGTTAATAAATCACCACTCATCCTCTCTTACCAAAAAGTTAATACTAGAACCACCTCCCAAGACGTGGGCGCATGGAACCACCGCCTTTCTGCCGCCGAGATGCTTGGACGGGCGAGCTTCATAAAACGACGCAGTTTTCGAGTCCAGTTTCATATTACGGGGGTACACCCCCGGTCTGAATACCCATGGGTTGTTGAGGTTGCTCTCCCCAGCCTCGATCAGGAGAACCTTAAGGTTATGATCTAAATTTGCCAGGCTGCGCAGAGTTAGTATAAGAATCTCCTACCGATAAATTGAATCATAGAACAAAGGACATACCGTCCTGCCACTACACAACCACAACTACCCCCTCCACACACGATAATATCGAATTCCTCAGGTAAAGGCGGCATGTTTTGTTGTCGTTGTTGTTGTTGTTGTTTCTGGTCCCGGCCGAAAATCTTAGAGAACATGTTGTGAAACCACTCCGAGGGGTGATGGTTGCGTACTTATGCTTTGTGGAATGCCGGTCGGCTGGATCTACAAATACCTAAAATGAGGGGAATCTACGAAGCCCCAAATATCGAGACGCCTCTCCCTTGGATATTTCGTATGAAGCTGCCAATCATGACTCCTTGCTACCTTAGTTAGGCCATGCATTCAGGCTTGACTGCTAGCTAGAATCCCCCAACAACCCCTCCCTCCCAGTCAGCACCTATTCGACAGGCATGCCAACTCACTGTAGAGGTCATCTGATATCTAGCAATGCAACACATCTGCATGTGTCACTCCAGCCGAGAGAGCTGGTCGGATAAGATGGAAAACCGAGCCCACGAAAGCCCAGGAAATCCCAACGGCACAGTGAAGGTCTCATCCAACCAGACCCAGAACAACCAGGTTCGGGCTTTTTACATTGCCCTACGTTAAGTGTTAGTTCTATTTTATCCACGTCACCAGACGTGGCCGGTCCGTGGCATTTGATCCATGGTTGCCGACATAGATTAGTACCTACCTATGTAGGAGGAAGGAGGTAGGAGGAAGTAAGAGTGATGTAGCTCAGCAGCGGTATCTCGGTGAGGCTCGGGATGTTGCTCTTCGCAGCCTTGTGGTCGCCCTACCCCTGTTAGTCTGCTACCCCAGGTTGTTTTGCGTATACCCACATGCTCATTGGCCACTAGCAGATGGAGCTCGCATGCAAGACGGATACCAAAATGCGGGGGAGGAGACGGCGAGGTCAAATACCCGTCAATCTATATGCAGCCCATGCTTCCCCGCAGTTTTCGAGGCGGATATTATAGTTCGTTTGTGTCGTTGGGGTCTATAACTATCCAAGAGCAGCACACTGCATACGTAGCTCGAGCCAATAGTCGCCATGCCGTACCTTAGCGTTCGACACTGACCCCTTCGGCTGACCAGACTAGTTTCCCTTCGTAGGGTTGGCGGCTTGTCGTCCTCAACCTGGCCAGGGTTTTTCCCCATACCAATCATCCCTGGAAACATGGCAGTAGATCAAGAATCTAAGGCACGCTAATTTATACTAAAATCCTCAGTGCCAAAGCTCCACCGTCAGCTTCCTAAGCCAGAAGAGGACCTGTTCCCTGTTCCAGAACGAGTCGATCGGCTACGCGTGGCCGGGCATTTCAAATATCTTGTTATTGAACTGCCGACGAAGCCGGTACCAGACGATCCTCCTTGTGCTACTCCAGATGCACGACTGTCTTCTCGACGGGGGGAGAATTGGAGAAATTCACATCTCATACTGCCCCGACTAACCCGTGATTTTTTCTTTCCGTCCAAATCGAGCCCAGAGCCAATATCAAACCCCGACCAGAGTTACACATTGATCGGTTTCGTTGGGAACCATGCTGCGAGCCTATGGGACCGCAGGATGATCCGGATAGGTTCGAGTCTGTTCCGCTACTTATACCGACGGATCGTCATCATCATTAACACAACGGGTCTCTTCCCTTTTGGATGATAGTCTCTTCCCTCACACTAAAATCCCCAGGTCTAAGCCCCCTTTACTTCGCCTACTTTACGAAAAGGACATCGTGGATTGACGGATACTAAACCGGTAGGTAGGCATCTCTCTTAGCAACAGCAATTACTAAGTAATAGCTAAACTTACATTTTCACGACAAAGGAAAAAGGAAGCGGGTTCTCGCGGCAATCCTCTTAGTCTAAATGGTTGTGTTCATATTATAAGATAGGTAATGCTATATTACCTACTATATAGATGTCGCCTAGAACATACAGCAGATATTGGGCATGGCACTCTGCGAGACATGAAAGGAGCGTGGCATGCATGCTCAATTAACCAACCAACGTAACACCAAGCTACAGGCCCCCACGTAGCTGAATTTCTAACCACAATAACTCTGACCGCCGCGGTGGTAGATCTGTTCGCGCCTCGAGCTTATGAGATGCCTCTATATGTTCTGCTGTTGGCCGCCCGCAGATTATCACAGCGCCTGTTGACTTCAGAAGCCCAATTGAGAATCTGCCTGTCGTCTACATCTCTATTCATCACACAAACATCCCTCACACATCCAAACCAAGTGGTGTACGCCTACGACTTCGGGTTATAACTAGCCGGCAGCTGGATGTATGATGACATAACGTTATAGAGGTCATGCAACTGCCGTTACACTCTGTTTTAGTCCGACATGCACCCATAGAGCAGGGTCGATTAATGCGTTGCACCAAGCTTGTCCTTGTCCTGGTGATGTATCATGTTTTATAGTTGTGGCTTTCCTTAGTAGGAAACCCTACGATCTTTAGGCTATGCAGGTATACCCTCTTGCCTGATCGTGCATGGATTTGCTGCTTGGTATAGGAGAAAACTCGGGATATACTAGAGACTAGTATCTTGGGGATCACTACTTGATGTTGATGTGCCTCCTCCGCACGGGGGGATACAGGCCTGCTTATACTTTTGACTACTTACCTACGTTACACTATGTATGTAAGACTTAGACTTTGAGTTACCTAGCTTGTAGTGAAATGAAAATCAATAAGTTTACAGGAATCTATGCACAGGTATCTAGGTATTCAAGTACAAATGTTCAGAAATAGTCATTAGTGGTGATAAAAGTGACTGCTTCATATCACAGACAACGACTTCAATAAACATATTTCATTTATTCTTAACTAATATCTAACTAGGTACATTACCTTCACGGAGATATAAGACTAATAATATCCCAAGGGCCGGCATATTAGCGTGTAGCCTAGCTTCCAAACTAAATCCTAAGTGATCTAGCTCTGGCTGGCCGCTCTTTGATACTCGTTTCCAGAAAAAAGCCTTGAGAAGAAATTCGGAAATTTGATTGGTGTCAGTTCGAATGACGGAAGCCCATACATATCTACCTAAGGTACCTAAGGTTAGATAGTGTATAATACTGTATATGGAAGATGAAGCTGAATTGACAAATAAAGATAGCTGAGTCCTGGGCTGCTGCTAGTTTCAATTGAGTTGTCGTACCAAGGGAAAGGGGCAGAAGTGACCTTTGTCAGGTAGACCGTCGCCTGGGAAGCTTTAGCTAGGGACAAAGATCTTTACATTTATAAATAGGGGGTATAAGTGAGGAAAGAGGGTTTTCTTCTCAATTTAGCTATGCGCCAAAATAAGCCCCCCTATTACCCCCTGATACTAAGCTGCAGTATGACATGCCTCTCCATCGTATACCTGCATACGAAAATCCTTCGGGATAAAGCAGCCACAATCACATTATTTGCACCAATTGCAGGATATACTCCATTAAAGCAGGGCGAACAATCTGTTACAGCAGTGTCACATAGGTAGGTCCAGTACATATTTAGGTCCGGATGTGATTCCGGGGGCTGCACCCCTATCATATCTCGATTAATTATACGCAAGCCGGATCCTACGGTGAGGCGGTACGGGCTTTTGATCAAGATCGATATAGCTAAGAAAATGGAAAATGCTTCAAGTTGTCTTTATGTCAACAATAATTACCTTGGTATTCATCAAAAGATTAAGTTAAGGGTAAGCACCCTAACTGCACTCTGGAGCCTCATAAGTAACTCATATCTACGACTACATATATTATAAGACGCCCCTAAGAGTATCGTTATTATAATCCTGCATATCAACATCTACCAAATTCACGGCATGGCCATGGCCTGAGCTTTTGATTTCCAAACGGTGTTAGTAATATTGGCCTAAAGATTGCTCTGTGCTAAGAACATGGCCGTGTACAAACATGTATCAAGGAAATCAATATTGACTAATATAGGGTGTTACTTTTGAGAAAATAGAGGATAGAGTTGGCGAGAAGACTCAACTAAAATCTGATGAGTGTTTTCGATCCACACGTCAATCGCTTCAAGAGACTTAGCTGAAGTTGATCGCGGCATACAATGCCCTCTTCTTCCCTTTGAGTAGTGTATCCCGAAACTTCGCAAGATGCCTGTGAACAATCGACTCCTTGGCATCTGGAAAATCTCACTGATAATTTTGAAGATAGTGAAGAAATCATCTACAGGATAATGGAAATTGTTTTACCTCACCTAGGTAGTTAACGTCAAGAGTTGTCTCTAGCCTTACTAGCTCCAAATAACACAATTGGCAATCATCTCTATACCTATAGAAGGTTAGGATGAGCAAAGGTGAGAGTACCTACCTGGGTATGTAACAAATACAGCGACGAGCTCCGTTGACTACACGAGAGCGTAGCTATTTGGATATGCCTTTTCTAAGAGAGAGAGAACCATGTTCATTTGCTTGAGAACACCTGGGTCAATATATTGACCTTAATGAATGGAGTACGGAGTATAAAATTGATTCTAGTGCGAAATTTTTCATCAATTACCATCATGGAAGTGGATCATGTTGATGATGTGGCCCGACTAGCTCATCGGTAGAGCGCCTCACTAGTAAATACCCTCTTAAACAATACGAGAAGGACTGTTATGCTGTAATGAGGAGGCAACAGGTTCGATTCCTGTGTTGGGCATTCTTTTTGCAAATTTTCTGTCTCTTGAACTAATTTTAGTTGTAATAACTACCCTGATGATCGGAAAATTCCATTAATGATCGATGAACACCATGTTAAAACAAAGGAATATGACTGGTTGATCTTATATACTAAAGGTTGTATAGGTCTTTTTACTAGTTACAAAGAGGGCTGTAGCTACTTGGGTAGGACCTAGTTAGGTACCTAGGTATGTAACTTTTTGAAGTAGTTGCTAAGTACGTAGGTAAGAAAGTAAATATGTTTCTTTTTCCGAATTTTCTTCTAAGAAAGCTATAGCTCTTAGATAGATTGGCCTCGCTTCGTCCAAGACACGCAAAGTTGTATGCAGTGGAGATGTAAGAACAAAATGAAGCCGGTCCTTCACTAACAGCATGCTAGGAGTATTAGCTAATGTTCCTTTTTCTTTGACCGAAGTTCTGCCACGGACCGTGGGGGTCGGATCAAACCTTTCGTCCAATAGGAATCACAGGTTTGGAAAAATCAAGTCATGGACATGTACGCCAATACGAAGCCCAAACTTCACATCACACGGGCAAGATGGCCGAGTTGGTCCATGGCGCGAGGTTAAGGTTGCAATCTTAACACGATTTCCTCGTGGGGAAACCCTCGTGGGTTCGAATCCCACTCTTGTCACGATTTACTTTTTGGTATTTTCCTGTTCATTTAGTGTGTTGCATTTGAACTTTTTTTTTGAACCGTACTATGGTTAGTGATTTTGTGGCATACAAAATTACAGGTCAACACCGTGTATATTGAGACCTTGGGGCACCATGAAAGACACTTCACTTTGTCTTAGTGGTTGAGTGCCCTGGGTTATAGAGGTCAACCACTGGATTTTAGCAGGGAGATCACTATTAGGCCTGAGGTTTAGCTCTAGACTGATACAGTACCGGTTGATTGGTACGAGTTGGCAGGTTGGTTGGTTGGTTGGTTGGAGCGGGGTATATGCACTAAACGTTCTGCTCTTCATGATTGGTAGAATTGGTGACAGGGAATACCTTGGAAACCTTGGTACCTAGGACTTCTAGATTTCCTAGGATCTGCTGTTTCGCTCTACTCAGCCTCAGCTGTTCAGCTGTCCAACTCTTCTTCGCATAACTCTTCCTCATACATATTTCAACCCAACCCACCTGTCATCGTAAGATTTGCCACGTTAAAAGGGTAAAACTTGGTACTAGGAAGGTAGGTAAACTAGTCTACAATTATCTTTGCCTTAATTGTCAATTGTTTTCCCTTCCAAGTTCATTTCCTATATCAACTCGTGAAAAATGGGTAAACCCTCAAGCCTGCCGGCCGACAAGGCAGCAGCCGATGCTGTCTCGCTACACTCAAACCTGGGCGAGAGCTCTAGGAACAATTTCATCGACGACGATGGCCTCGACACTCCCGAGCTTGCAGTCGACGACTTGCCGCCAAATTATAGCGAAGTCGAATCTTTACTCCCACCAACACTCCCCCCGACCTCTGCCTCGGTCGGCGCTCCCGTCATGGCTTCGACCCCAGTAGTAAAAGATGGCAAATTATTTAACGAGCTCAACAATGGTGCCCAATTTTGGATAGCTAAAAGTCTCGAGTATCCGGCTGCACTTGAGTCGCACATTCAAAAACTTGCTGCTATCCCCCCGCGGCCCTACATCAATCTTGTCGGGACGCATACCGAGACGAGAAAGAACGATAAGGACAAATACGAGAAGACTACTGTCACAGACTTCGACGTATCAATCGAGTTAACGCCCTATTTGTACTCGGACGCCCAATACCACAAGTCGTGGTGTCAGTTGCGGACCGTTGAGAATTTCGAGAAAACGAAGCGTGGTACTATACTTAAGAAACGTGCTCCGGGTTCGAACCAGAGCATCGAAGTTGGTGGCGACCCGAAGCCGACGTTGAAGGAGTGGTGCCATCGGTACGCCGCCAGCCACGCCGGCTTGAAGGTCTTTGCGCTCCACCGGACTATGGTTGGGTTCGACGAGGAACGTGTCAAGAACCAACTGCGGACTCTGGTGAACAATACAAACTACCGCGGCCACCTTAAGGTAGAGCTCGTGACGAAAAACGCCCTGGTCGAGTGCTACAACGAGGCGAAGACAAACCATTGGCGCCTGACATCGTGGATCCAGATGCTGTTCACGTTTACCCTCCTTTTCATCTTCGCTTGGCCTTACCTGTGGCTACGGACGAAGAGGTGGGAGGTTGCTATCTCGGAATGGCCGTTCTCGAGAATGGCTGAAGGCGGCGGCAAAGAGTACGTGAGCATCAGTGAGGACCAGTGGTATAACTTATGGGCCCGTGCCATCTACAATGCCGTGATGGAGAAGCGGCAGAAAACACTGGATCAGTCGGACCTTAGAAGAGCGCAAGAGCCCGAGCCAGCGCTCGAGACTGGCAATGCAGCTGTGGATGGGGCGGTCGGTTTGTTTAGGGCCGGTGTCAGCGCCATGAATGAGGTGAATCGGCATTTAGGTTGGGGCAGAGATTGCTAGAGGCATTTTCTAGGAGTATTACATCAGCGGGGTTACCTACGCCGAGGTCTTATCCATGGTATCGTTTTTCTCGTTTTTGGTCTGTTATTAGCTCAAACGTCTTTCTGGATGCAGATATTCATTTGTACTATTATACTCGGAGCTAGATGCGCGGCAGCTCTATTAGGATAATGGATAATGGGTTTTGTAATAGTTACGAGGACCATTTCCCTAAAACGGAAAATGACTAAGTCAATTGGTTAGTCATCCATCCACTTATACGCATCTATCACGATGATTTCTAATGAATTCAGCCATAGCGAGGATGGATATAAGAAGGCGGTACTTTACGTAGATTTATTATACATCAATATTCGTCAGTTTTGTTTGCGCCAAGATGTCTCCCATTCGTGTCGCGCTCGTTGGTCTCTCGTCATCTGCAAAAACATCGTGGGCTGCTCAAGGTCACCTACCATATCTTCTATCGCCACGAGGAAGTTCCAGATACGAAATTGTGGCTTTACTTAATTCAAGTGTTCCCGCGGCGGAAGCAGCTCGGAAACATTTCGCCCTTCCTCTAAATGTGAAAGCTTATGGCGACCCGCATGCTTTAGCTGATGCGGATGTTGACCTGGTTGTCTGCTGTACTCGTGTGGATACTCACAGCTTAACCACGGGTCCATCTCTGCATGCTGGCAAGGCTGTTTACATAGAATGGCCTCTGGTTCAAGACTACAAGGAAGCTGTCGCTCTGACGGGGAAGAAACGCCTGGACAATACTATCATTGGACTTCAGGGGCGCGTTTCGCCGATTATTCTCAAGCTCAAAGAGATCCTAAAGTCGGGACGTATCGGCTGTGTCCTTAGTAGCGATGTTCGTGCTTCCGGTAATCTGGTACCCAGAAATATACTACCGGAGGGTCTATCCTATTTTGCGGATCGGAAAGTAGGCGGCAACCTCATCACTATTGCTTACGGGCACACCATCGACTACGTGCACGAAGTTCTCGGCGAGTTTTCGTCTTTTCAGAGCCGGATGCAGATTCAGCAACCGGTAGTCAGGATCACTAGGAAGGACGGTTCTAAAATAGAGGAGAGGCTTACTGACGTACCTGACCTCCTGGTAATCTTTGGGAAGCTGGTTAAGGGGAAGGCGGATATCGCGGATGATGCTACGTTGTCGTTCACCTATAGGAGCGGGAAACCGTTCAAGGGGACTCCTGGTTTCGTGTGGACTATCACCGGCGAGTTGGGCGAGATCATGGTGACGGCTAGCGGCGCGTACGTGCATTCCGACTCTTATAAGGACCCGATCGAGATCAAGATACACGATCGTACCACAGACGAGGTTGTCGACGTGAATTGGGACTGGGAAGACTGGCAAAAAGAGCTCCCGTACCGGTCCCGGATCGTGGCGGAGTTGTACGAGAGATTCGCATTTTGGTGGGGGAATGGGAAGCCGATGGGTGGTCTTCCCGAAGAGCAGGACTGGCCTCGTCTCCACGACGCTCTCGTGAGGATGGAGGAGCTAGATGAGGTGTTTAAGCAGTACGATGCGCAAGACGAAGTCGAAACTAATACCGGGTAGCCGGACATGGGGTTAATCACTGAGTTTAGGTTTAGTTTCTATTGACGTATTCATGCTACTAATATTATGTCGTCTCCCTTTCCGATAAGTAATCACCGACTCTCGCTCTCGTTACATCCCGAACTCCGTTATCTATTGTCTGATAAAATGGACAAAGCTCGGGGTCACGGGGATTCTGATAACTCGAGTCTCTCAGCTCTGTCTTGAACGAGTTTCGAATATCTGGGGCGAGTTATCAGTAAGTTGAGGCATGATTCTACGATTCTATTGGTGATATCGCTCCCTATCTTGATGAAACGACATTAGTGGGCTATACAGTAGTTAGGTAATTTAATTATTAGTGTTAGCGGATCTGCCATTGACCAATGTTTTCTGTCTGATAACGTATAGGCGATAACATGGGAAATCGGGTTATTCTTCCATATTTAGTATAGGTGACGAATCCATCGCCATAATTGTTATTGTGTGTTAGTTGTGTTAGTTACTTGGTTAGTCAACTGGAGCCTTCGTATACATCTAAGAATATTCTCAAGTTCCCAAGTTACCAAAATCGCATTTTCATTACATAGTAGTCTTGAGATGAAACAAGACCAACCCTAGCTATTGTGTAAAAACCCGTTGACCGAATCTGGAATAGGAGTGCCAAATCCACAAATGACAAACCCACCTCCACGTATCTTTGCCACTAATGCGGATGAGATGTACGTAGCGCTTTAGGTACATCCTAAGATCTATAAGTACATATATACATCAACGGATAGCAGCATAATGGATGTACACGTTCTTGAACTTTTTAATTTTCGTACGAGATAAGTCGGCTATCCAGGGTTTATGGAATGGGCTATTATGCCGATTAGCTTCTAGGGCCGAAGAAAAGTCGGGGCTTAGCGGCTTCGGGGTCCGGAGCCGTTTCCTTTAAGGCGGAAGCG